CTGGATAAACCTCTCCTCACCCTCCTCCTCCTCCTCCTCCTCCTCCTCCTCCTCCTCCTCCTCCTACTCTCGTCCCTCCTCCTCCTCCTCATCATCGTCATCATCATCCGCATCTTTGTCCACATCATCATCGTCACCATCATCATCACCATCATCGTCATCATCATCATCCACACCCACGTCATCCTCCTCATCATCATCCTTATCATGATCATCATCCTCATCTTCATCATCATCATCATCGTCATCGGCATCATCATCACCATCCTCGTCCACCTCATCATCATCGTCATCATCATCACCAGCCACATCCACGTCGTCATCATCATCATCATCATCATCATCATCCTCATCCTCATCCTCATCATCATCATCATCCTCATCATCCTCATCATCCTCATCATCCTCATCATCCTCATCATCATCATCATCATCATCATCATCATCAGCATCATCATCATCATCGTCATCGTCATCGTCATCGTCATCGTCATCGTCATCGTCATCATCACCACCATCATCATCAGCGTCATCGTCGTCGTCATCGTAGGCTTTCCAGGAGGCCCAATACGTTCCCCAGGAAACCCCAGAGGCGTTCCAGGAGGCCCAAAACGTTCCCCAGGAGGCCCCAGAGGCTCTCCAGGAGGCCAAAGACGCTCTCCGGGAGGCCCAAGAGGCTCCTCAGGAGGCCCCAGAGGCGCTCCAGGAGGCCTCAGAGGCGCTCCAGGAGGCCCAAGACGCGCTCCAGGAGGCCCAAAACGCTCGCCAGGAAGCCCAAGACGCTCTCCAGGAGGCCCCAGAGACTCCCCAGGAGGCCTCAGAGGCGCTCCAGGAGGCGCCAGAGGCGTTCCAGGAAGCCCAAAACGCTCTCCAAGAGGCCCCAGAGTCGCTCCAGGAGGCCCAAGACGCGCTCCAGGAGGCCACAGAGGCGCTCCAGGAGGCCCAAGACGCGCTCAAGGAGGCCCAAGACGCTCTCCATGAAGCCCGAGACACTCGCCAGGAGGTCCCACAGGCTCCCCAGGAGGCCCTAGAGGCGCTCCAGGAGGCGGTAGAGGCCCTCCAGGAAGCCCAAAACGCTCTCGAGGTTCTCCTGTGTTGCTCTGTTGCTGTTGCTGGGGGGGGGGGTCGGCCGGGCGCCAGTGAGTGCTTTCGTCAACAACAACAACAACAACAACAACAACAACAACAACAACAACAACAACAACAACAACAACAACAACAACAACAACAACAACAACAATCACTTTACCCGAACGCTCAGTGTTCTCACCAGTGCCAGGGTTTTCATGCGACGCCAGCCAATACCCCCACTTTGTGGGGGGGCAGTGCAAGCTCTACCAAATATCCACACGACTCTTCGCCACCACCCACACCCAGCTTCCCGCCCTATGACGTTCGGACACTTCACTTCGTGGCCTGCGGACGACCGTGGCTACTACACTGGCGTGGAGTACACACCCACAGAAGTTGTTAAGCCTACGTTCGTACACCCACAGAAGTTGTTAAGCCTTGTTAACCCACAGAAGTTGTTAAGCCTTCCACAGAACATCTGTTGCATATGATGCATATGGTACAAACATCTTCGGCGTGCGCGCGCGAAGAAAAAACGAATGTGTCCCGCATGGTATTATTTGACAGGGATGATGGCCCTGGCAGGTGCGCAACCGATGTCGCAGAAGTTCGAAAAAGTTGCTCGCAAAAGCCCGTTTGACAGAAATGTTTAAAAAGTGTTGGGTTTCCTACGAATCCGCAAGAGCGCGCGGGATGAGATTTTGACATTTTTTTGTTGAAAAACCATTGGTTTTTTGATGTTTTTATGTTAAAATCGCTCCGAACACTAAGCTTTTGGAAGGATTTCGTCTTGCGCGCGCGAATGTCCACTTTACCTTATTTTTTGCAAGGGATTCTTGAAATTTGATTATATTAGAACAAGAAATGTCATTTTATAGTGTTTTTTGCAAGGGAAAACGGATTACAACAAAACAACCGGATCTGATCACATCGTTTTACCTGAGGCTTCCTCACGAAAATGATGAAAATGTAGCTGCGGCCTAGGCGGCGCAGGGGGGGCGTGCACCAGGGGGCCCAACAATAATTATTCTTTAGAATAAATAATGTTCAACAACAACAACAACAACAACAACAACAACAACAACAACAACAACAACAACAACAACAACAACAACAACAACAACAACGCAACAAGCTGAATTCTCACCACGGATGCCCTCTTCAACCACGCACCCAGGAACAATGAATGACCGTTCGGCCCCCTCACTCTGATTTGAACCGTTCCAAAAGAAGCCGAGTAGCCTCCGGCTAAACCCGCTGGCAAACTGGATAGCAGATCTCCCAGGAGCCCAAAACAAGCGTTTCGCCTGAGACACCCTCACACACTGGCCAGGATGACTAAAAGATGGCTGGAGCCTCCAAGACGTCCAAGATAGCACCAAAAGAACCCAAAGTGGCCCCAACATGCCTCCGAGCCGGACCCATGATTACCAAGACGACCGAAGATGGCCTCAAGACGGCCCAAGAGGCCCCTGATACGCTCCAAGTTGCTTCAAGTTCTTTTTTGTTGCTCAATGATTCGAAGGTTCTCGACAGTTCGGGCTTCCCATAGCAGGCTTCCCATAGCCTCGGACGGCCCAACAAGCCTCCAAGATATCCCCAAGACGGCCCCAGACGCACCCGAGGGGGCCACAAACGGGCCTGGAGGATCCCAAGGCGGCCCAAGAGGCCCCCAAGATGGCCGCAAACGGCCCCAAGACGGCCCAGTGGGTTCCCCAAGACGGCCTCCGAAGGCCGTGAGGCACCTCGGAGGCCCCCAAGAGGCCCCCAAGAGGCCCTCACGAAGCAATCGCGCGCCCCCGAGAGGCTTCCGGGAGACCCCCGGGAGGCCCCAAGAGGCCCTCAAGAGGCCCCTTTTTCCTCGCCCCGCTCCCTCTCCTCCCTCTCCCCCTCAGCCCTCTACCTCCCAAGCGTTCCCCCCAGGGTTTCCGCGACGGCTTGGGGAACACATTTTTTGTGGTCCGTCGGCGCTTAGGCAGAGTAACTGCGCTGGCGATGAGGCTACCTAAACGGAGGTGCCGTTGTAGCGAATCGTGCCACCATGCAGGAGGAGGGGACAGGGCAGAGGCAGCGGCCGGAAGAGAGGGCGGGACCTGGGGGAACAAACAGCTCCATAGCTCGGCAAGACTTCGGCCCCACGTTTCGCCAGCCCGGCGCGTCCAGAAGGCAGGGAGTGGCCACGGTTGGCCACGGGGCGCCCTCGAGACGCCGCCCCCGCAGCCTGCTGGAGGTCTGCGTGGCCTGCCAGCCTGGACCGGCTCCTCTTCGGCCCTTCCGCAAAAAATCCCCGTGGGTGTGCCACCGATGAGGGGGCCCTGGGACACACAAATGAATACACACAAATAGAAAGATGTCCCATATTTTCCTACATTTCTGGATCTTCCCATGTTTTCTGGAGGATCGACGATTCATTGTCTGTGCGTGTTTTCCCCTCCTGAACAGAAGCGGGCACGGAACGGGCTGCAGGCGCCCTCGGGCCTCGCCCCCCCCGTGGCCACGGTCGCCTCCGCGGCGACCCGCCGGCCACGGCGCCGCGGCCCGTCTCGATGGAGCTCCCGCGGGGGTCGCGGGGACTCCTCCTAGTCCTCCTCCTCCCCGTCCTCCTCCTCCCCGTCCTCCTCCTCGTCCTCGTCCTCGTCCTCCTCCTCCTCCTCCTCCTCCTCCTCCTCCTCCTCCTCCTCCTCCTCCTCCTTCGGGCCCTCTGCGCCGGTGGAGCCGGGAGCAGCAGAGGGCAGGGAGTGCCCGGTGGCAGCTGGCCATTATCCGCCGATCCCGCGGGATCGACCGGAAGCACCAGCTGGACATCAACAGCTGCGCTCCGCCCGAAGCGGCCTCCAAGACGGCCCCAAGACGCCCCCAAGACCCCAAGACGACCATTACGGCACAAGAGAGCCCAAGAGGGCCCCAAGATGCCTCCAAGACGGCCAAAGATGACCTTAAGACGGCCCCAGAGGCCCCCAAGACACCCAACAGGAGGCCCGCAGGAGCGGCCGAAGGCGCCTGTGGACATACAGCGAGCTTCCCGCGAGCACGAGGGCACCTTTGTCTGGTCCTTTTGGCGAGGCTTGTTTGGGAAGAAAGCGGAGCGCGTTTAAGCCACCTCCGGCAGGCTGCTCTGGCGAAGCACTGCCAGAAGATGAAGTCGGGGATGGACAGAACCCCCTTTAGTAAACGTGGTTTAGTGAAAACGACCTCGGGCCCAAATCTGGCGGGCGCAAGATTGGAAAATGACGGCCGCGGCGCCCTCTCGAGAACCGAAAACGGGCAATTCACTGACCGACGTGTCAGGGTGGGGTTTCTGTCCACCCCCGAGAAAGGGCAATCCAGGGGCTGAACCAGAAGTGCGTCGCCCTACTGTGCTCGAGTGGCCAACTCATGCTTGTGTGTATTCCTTGCAAGGCCTTCACAGCACTGGGGCAGGGGACGATTTTGGATAAGCCTTGCCTGGGGCATCCCACCACGAAATATGAAAAAAATGGGCACGACGTCGTCGTCGTCGTCGTCGTCGTCGTCGTCGTCGTCGTCGTCGTCGTCGTCGTCGTCGTCGTCGTCGTCGTCGTCGTCGTCGTCGTCGTCGTCGTCGTCGTCATCGTCGTCGTCGTCGCCATTCAGGGTCGGCGGCACCGGCCTTAAGGCCTTTGCAATATGAAAAACTTGGGCGCGAGATTATGAAAAGAAGGGTTCCGAAGCATCCTGAGATCACGGTGGAGAGATTTCTGCCGCACTGGGAAGACGGGCTGCAGCGCCCCAGGGGTGAGCGGTGCGCGTGGAAGAAGATGATCCCCCCTCGCCCCAAGAGCCACGACGACCACGACCCAAGAGGACCACGACCACCGCCACCAAAACCCTGGCGACGACCCAGACCATCGCGACGACGACGGCGACGAAGCTGACGACGACGCCGGCGACGGCGGCGGGCGCGGCAAGGCCTGCCGGCGGCCCGAGAGCTCGCTGCTCAGCACCAGGGCAGAGGCCGCCAGCTTGGAGGGCCTCTGTCCGACCTGGCGCCCCTCGCCCTCGAAGGCTCTCAAAGGTCTTCGAAGCCTCAGCCTCGGGATGCCCCCTGCGGCAGCTCCATGGCCAAGCCGACGGCGATTTCGGCAAAAAGGCGAGGTTGGAAATTCGTTGTTTGCAACGCCGAACTCGCGCAGAACACAGTGTAGGAAAACACGACCAACGCTTTCCTACAATTGGGTGGACCACGAATCACCCCCAACTGGAATACCTAAGCCTACCTTCAAGTTGGGCGTGTCCCTCTACAGGAGGCATACTCAAACATAGTCAACAAATCCGCAGACCCTGTCGGCGTGTGTGAGGGGCTTCTCCGTTCGAGTCGTGCTTTCTTTCCTGCTCGACTTTCTCTAGCCGCATCCAGCTTCCACTCACCGTTCTCCCGCTCACCGTCAGCAGAGTCCTCTTCCTTGCATATGCCGTACCAAGCAATTGATTGAACGTCGTCAATACTTCGAAGGGAAGCCCCTTCCCTTTTCCCTTCCCCAGTGCGGGGGGGGGGGCCGGACCTGGGGGGGTCCCGGGAGGGACCCAGGGGGGCACCCCCCCCCAGACCCGACTCCCCCGGCAGCCTTCGAGAAAGCCCGGAGGGCGTCGCGAGGAGGTTCTCGTCCTCATCCTCCTCCCCCTTCTCCTCCTCCTCCTGATCCTCCTTCCCCTCCTCCTTCTCTTCCTCCTACTCATCATCATCATCATCATCATCATCATCATCATCATCATCATCATCATCATCATCATCATCATCATCATCATCACCATCATCATCACCATCACCATCACCATCACCATCACCATCACCATCATCCTCATCCTCATCCTCATCCTCATCCTCATCATCATCAGCATCAGCATCAAAATCAGCATCATCATCCTCATCATCATCATCATCGTCATCATCATCATCATGCTCATCCTCATCCTCATCCTCATCCTCATCATTATCATTATCATCATCAGCATCATCATCATCCTCATCCTCATCCTCATCCTCATCATCATCATCATTATCATCATCATCATCATCCTCATCCTCATCATCATCAGCATCAAAATCAGCATCATCATCATCATCTTCATCATCATCATCATCATCATCATCGTCATCATCATCATCATCATCTTCATCCTCATCCTCATCCTCATCCTCATCCTCATCCGCATCCGCATCCTCATCCTCATCCTCATCCTCATCCTCATCCTCATCCTCATCCCCATCCCCATCCCCATCCTCATCCTCATCCTCATCCTCATCCCCATCCTCATCCTCATCCTCATCCTCATCCTCATCCTCATCCTCATCCTCATCCTCATCCTCATCCTCATCCTCATCCTCATCCTCATCCTCATCCTCATCCTCATCTCATCTCCTCGTCGTCCTCGTCGTCCTCGTCGTCGTCATCATCATCATCCTCATCCTCATCCTCATCATCATCATCATCATCATCATCATCATCATCATCATCTCATCCTCATCCTCATCATTATCATCATCATCATCATCATCATCATCATCATCATCATCATCATCATCATCATCCTCATCATCATGATCCTCATCATCCTCATCCTGATCCTCATCCTCATCCTCATCCTCATCCTCCTCATCATCATCATCAGCACCAGCAGCATCATCATCATCATCATCAGCATCATCACCATCAGCATCAGCATCATCATCAGCATCATCACCATCATCAGCATCATCATCATCATCCTCATCATCATCCTCATCCTCATCCTCATCAGCATCAGCATCAGCATCAGCATCAAAATCAGCATCATCATCATCATCATCATCATCATCATCATCATCATCATCATCATCTTCATCATCCTCATCCTCATCCTCATCCTCATCCTCATCCTCATCCTCATCCTCATCCTCATCCTCATCCTCATCCTCATCCTCATCATCATCATCATCATCATCATCATCATCATCATCGTCGGCGTCGGCGTCGTCGTCGTCATTATCATCATCATCATCACCACCACCACCACCACCACCATCATCATCATCATCATCATCATCATCCTTGTCCTCTTCTCCTACTCCTGCTCCTTCTCACATCCGCCACCTCCTCCTCCTGATCCTTGTCCTCCTTAGCTTCCTCCTCCCCCTCCTAGCCCCTTCGATCAAGGTCGGCGGCACCGGCCGTCAGGTCTCTCCAATCGTCTAGAAACGTTTTGTTTACTATTCTCGAAAAATTGTTCAATCTGTTTTGAACAACTGATATTTTTCGTCCAAAATCCGCCTGTGGGAGGGCATGCCCGACCTAAACCTACCTCGCCGTGACCAGCATCGCCGCTCGGGTGTCCACGGCAGCGTCCCACGAGGCCCCGCGCGGCTGTCCGGCGGCCACACGACGGCCGGGGACCCGCCCGAGGCCCCGCGGGACGCCTCCCCCACCGAGCAGGCCAAGACGGCTCCAGGAGAGCCCCGAAGCCCTCGCAGATAGCCCTAGGTTTCGGGCAGGTCCCCCTGCAGGATTCTGGACGAGAAATCGAAGAATAGTCCACAGAATACTCCAGAATGCTCAAAAATCGTCCCCAGACTACTTTCGGACTACTTTTGAATATTCCTCCCGTAGAGGGACGGGCATGACTTAAACATGGCCTCAAGTGGTGCGCAGAAGGAGATACAGGGAGGCGCGCGTGCGACCAGAACGCAGCGCAGAAACATGTTGTAGGATGTTGGCACCAGTCGGCATGGCAAGACCACGCCCGCCACGGGGTTTACACGACCAGACGTTCCAGTGCGCGCGTCGCCCCTGCGAAAGCGACGCACACGAAATACAAGCAAGTCTGAGTCCGACCGACCGAGCTGGTTCTCCAGATTCTCTTCTGGAGAGCCCGGCAACCCAAAGTGGCCCAGCCTCGGGGGAGCCCCCGGATGCCCACTGGGACATAGGATGCATGGCCGTGGCATGACGTTGGTGGACCCGCGGTCGAACCGTCCTGGAACAATTTCGATGCTGCGCTGCGAGGGTGACGGGGCTTGCCGCTGATCTGAAACTGGCCCTTGGCCCGTTAGAGGCCTCCCAGATGGGGTCGGAGTAGATGGGGTCGGAGGATCGCGACGCATCGCCCATACATCGGCGATACATCGCCGATGCATCAGCGATGCCATCGGCGACATCGGCGATGCATCGGCGACGCCAGCATGGAGAAAACCAGGTCCACATCGAGCCGCATCGGCGATGCATCGGCGATGCGGCGCGATCCTCCGACCCCATCTACTCCGACCCCATCTGCACGGTTTCCCCTGGGGCCGTCGTCGACCTGAGGAGGAAGAGGCGGAGGTGGAGGAGGAGGTGGAGGAGGAGGTGGAGGAGGGGGGGGGAGGGGAGATGGAGGAGGAGGAGGAGGAGGAGGAGGAGGAGGATTAGGAGGAGGAGGAGGAGGAGGAGGAGGAGAAGGAGTGAGGAGGGAGGAGAGGAGGAGGAGGAGGAGGAGGAGGAGGGAGGAGGAGGAGGACGGGTCGCCTAAGCCCTTCGGAGAAGCCCTCCACCCCATCTGGGAGGCCCAGAGCCATGCTGTCTCGCAGCAGCGTGCTGCGGCCCCGGGCGCTGGCGGAGCCCTGCAGAAGCTGGGCGCGTGCCGTCCGGGCGCCCAGCTCTGGCCTTGGGCGACCCATGGCGGGCGGGCCCCGCGGAGAGGCCCGGCGCGCGCCCGCCAGGGCGGCCCCGGGCGAGGGCGGGCGAGGGACGGCCAGGGCGCAGCGCACGGGCGGCGGCGGCTCCGGGGAGGGCGCGGCGGAGGCGGCTGCGAGGGACCGGGCCGGCGGGAGCTCGGCGCCCTGTGGCAGGGAAGCCAAGACGTGTACCGATGCCGCCACGCCCCGGACCGCTCCACAGGGCGCGTTCGAGCGGTGGCGGCGAGGGCCCCCGAGGAGGCCCAAAAAGAGGCGAGAGCGAGGCGAGGGTGGCGGTATGGGTGCCTCGTCCTCCTCTGACGTTTGGGGGAGGGCGCTGGGGTGGCAGGACGCCCCCCAGGCGAAGTAGGCCGGCACGGGAGCGTCGCGTGTCTGGGGAGGCGGCGCTGCCTCGCTTCCCTCGGCGGTTGCAGTCACTGCCCTCGGCGCAGCAGCTTCCCCCGGCGGCAGGTTCTGGTGATGCCTGCGCGCGCGTCAGGCCATCAGTCCCGCTCGTAGCCCGAGCCGCCTCGAGACGCCGCTGGCGCCTTCGCCTGCGGTTGCGACAAGAAGTCTGGGGAGGCGACACGCGGGCTCTCCAGGTCCGCACGCGTCGCGCGTCGCGCCCCGGGGGGCGCGCCCCGCCTCTGCCCGTGCGCCCTCGCGCCGCAGCCCTGGGGAGAAGCCCACCTGGGCGGCTCAGGCCGCGACGCGCGAAGCAGGCTCAGGATGGCATGGGGTGATGATGGGCCTGCCTTCCACCACCACCACCAACAGTTGGAAGGGGGAAGGAGGTGGGGGGTGAGGAGGAAGGAGGAGGAAGGAGGAGAAGGACCCCCTCCCCCTCCTACTTGTGGTGGTGGCGGTGGAGAAGAAACCCACCAGGTGTGGCGAAGGGGCGGGCGGCATGCATGCTCTGACTGCGTGTCCCTTTCTGTCTGGGTCGACGCCTCTGCTGCGACGAGGTGCGGTCGGCACAAACTCGGAACACGTGCACATCACCGTTCCGCCTCTCGAGTGCGGACTTGCATCAGAGGACCCCAATTGACCAGCCGATCAAGCATCCCAACGACCCCCACGACGCAACGACAAAAAACAGTAAGCTCATCATGGCAAGCTCGAACCGACGACGGACGGCGCCAAATGAAGACCGACGAGGGAAGCAAGGATGGGGGAGGAGCCAAGGAGGCCAAGACACCGCTCGAGACCCTCAAAGACCGAACGCCGCAGCCACAGATCGCAAGGGGAGCGGGTGGGAGCTGTGGATGCTGGCTACACGGAGGAGAGGGGAGAGGAGTGAAAGGGGAGGTGGCAGCAGAGCGGAGGACGGGAGACGGAAACAAGAAGAGGGGAACAAGACCCAGGAGGGGGAGACAAGACTATGAACAAACAGGAGCAGCGGAAGGTAATCATATTGAGTTCCCGGCTCCATCCCCAACCGTGCGGTAGTCTTGCAGCGCACACTCGAGGAGATGCCACTCCTCCCTCTGCCCAAACTGAAAGCACAGATGTGCCATTTCCTCCTCATCATAATCCTCATCCTCTTCCTCTTCCTATTCGATCCAGCATCCCCCTTTTATCGTCACCAACGTAACACACAACCAACACCTACATTATCATCATCATCATCATCATCATCATCATCATCATCATCATCATCATCATCATCATCATCATCATCATCATCATCAGCATTATCATCGCTATCAGCATCATCATCAGCATCATCAGCATCATCATCAGCATCACCTTCATCAGCAGCAACATCAGCATCATCATCAGCATCATCAGCAGCAGCATCATCATCCTCATCATCAGAATCATCAGTATCATCAGCATCAGCATCAACAGCATGAGCATCATCATCATCATCGCCACCACCACCACCACCATCATCATCATCACCATCATCATCATCATCAACATCAGCATCAGTATCAGCATGATCATGATCATGATCATTATCAGCAGAAGCATCATAATCAGAATCATCAGTAGCAGCATCATCCTCATCCTCATCCTTATCTTCAGCATCATCAGCATGATCATTAACACCATCAGCATCAGCATCAGCATCATCATCATCACAATCATCGTCATCATCATTATCATTGTCATCATCATCATAATCAGCGTCAGCATCATCATCATCATCATCCTGATCCTCATCATCGGCATCATCATCATCTTTATCATCGTCAGTATCATCCTCATGTGACTCCTCTTTCTCATCATCATCAGCAGCATCACCATCATCATCATCATCAGCAGCACTATCATCATCATAATCATTAGTATCGTCGTCATCATCACCGTCAGCATCATCATAAAACAATCAGCATCATCACCACAACCGACATCCTCATCTTCACCAGTCGTACCATGATCACTAGTAACAACGAACTCATCACCATCATGGTCATCATCGGCAGCAGCAGCATCATCAACAACAGCATCATAACCATCATGGTCATCATCATCACAATTATCACTATCATCATCATCATCATCATCATCATCATCATCATCATCATCATCATCATCAACACCGTCATCGTAATACTCATTATCATCGTCATCGTCATCACCACCGTCCTCCTCCTCGTCACCATTCTCATCATCATGCGTCTCTTCCATCCTTGTGCTCTGCCGTTCAACGCTTAATGGTGCTACATCGCGTTCCCTTCCTCCACTCTCTGTCTCTCTCTCTCTCTCTGCTCCAACGGACCCTGCTGCTCCCCCACGGTCTCCTCTCACCACCCGCTCGCCCGATCCCCGCCCCCGGCAGCGGGCCCACCCGCATCTAGAGACAGCCGACGTCGTGACGTTTCACAACGTGGGCCTCTAGAGGTATCGGCCTCTCCGCGGGTCCGGCGGATCCTCCTGAATTGCTGTTTGCCTTTCCTGGGAGCCACTGAAGGCCCTCAGAAGCTGGACCCCTACAGTCATCGGCCTGTTCTAAGGAACGATAAATAAGGAACGAAGCCCCTTGTTTATCCCAAGAAATAACGCATAAGGACAGATAAATAATAAGTAACGCATAAGGATCTGTAAATAACGCATGTAAATCGAAAATAACGATCGAGCCCCTTTTGAAAAGTAAGTGTTCCTTATTCAAGCCGCTCACTCGAATCGTGTGTTTCCAGAAATCGACGTGGTGCAACAGACGTGGTTCAAACTATGTGGAGTCGTATACGTGATGCGATACACGTGATGCACTCTGTGTTGCGCAATATATGTAGAACAGTGTACCTGGGTGTGTTTGAATGATTCCGGCATGGCCATATGTTGCAGCATAATATGATTTGACAGCGAAAAGGGGGCCATACTGGGTCCAGCTGGGATGGCACGAGTTCAAAACTAAGATCAAGGACGGCGACGGGGCGTTCTACATCTGTCACGCTGGTGTGTCAGAGAATTCATGATGCACTCCCTCAACTGGCATTACTGTCATTGCTTCGTGCTGGACGAATTATCCATGTTCGTGTCGAGACACTCTCTCCTGAGACTGCTTAGCAGAAACGCTTCCTGCTCCACCTCTTAACGCCTTTTCGCCTGTCACTGCCTTCCGCTCCAGCTGGGCCGCCTCGTTAAGGCAGTGTCCAACCTCTGCTCGACCACAGGCATCAGGGCGGATACGCGGCGCCATGCACCTCTGCCAACCTCGCTTCGATGCACGACTCTTTCCTGCCCACAAGCCGCCGCCCACACAGCCCCCTCACACTATCTGACTATCGGGCAGCCACCACTCGGTTCTACGTAAGCGTGCCCTTCGACCAGAATACCCTAGCTGCGTTCTGGGAGGACGGCCCCTCGACAGCAACCCCATCCAGATCCTTTCGGGCGCTTTGGCGCCGAGATTGTCAGTAGGGTCCCCTTTGGGGCAAAGAAGAGTAAGAAGGATATGTCGAATTGGGGGGGCACGAACGCCATCCGGTCGCGACCACTGAGACCGTAGATGGAGACCCATACGGGCCACGAAACGTGTGAAGGGCGTGCCAAAGTGGGAGCTGGTACACCGTACGCCGGCGCCCTCTGAGACCGTAGGTTGGGCTCACTGTGGGGCCACGAAAAGTGTTGTACGCAGAAGGCATCTATACACCACCACCATACCAAGCCAGGGCCATCGTGGCCCTGGGATGGTGTACACGCCCTCCTGGCCGAGGCCAGGAGGGTCTGTACACCATCCTAGGGCCCAGGATGGCCCTGGCCTGGTGCGGTGGTGGTGCATAGATGCATTCGTCGGATGTCAGGGTCGTGCTGACTTGGGGGGCGGTGCGCCATGTGGTCGCGCCCGCTCAGACCGCAGGCGGAGCTCCCCTGTGGGGCCACGAAGCATAAGAGGGTGTGCCGAATTGGGGGGGCTGCTGGGTGTGCCAGACTGGGCCCGCGGAGAGCCGAGGAACGAGGAGGAGGAGGAGGAGGAGGAGGAGGAAAGTTAGGGGGTCCGCGCGGTGGTCCAGAATGAGGGCCCAACTCACACGAGGTGGTCGGGACAAACGTGTGCCTGGGCCACGGCCTCCACTGTGAAGCACGCCAGCCTATGTTTGTTGGCCCCCCCACGCGGTGCCCCAGCCCCCTGCTTCCAGGTCGGCCCGGAGGTCGTCGCGGAGAGGCTGGCCGCCCTCGCCGGGCTCTGCGCTGGCCACCTGGACGGCGGCCCAGGTGCGCGGGCGGTGTGGGAACGTGGGGCCGGAGGCGGAGCTGGGCGGCAGGACGCGAGAGGCCAGCGGAGCGGCGACAGCTGGCGCGGAGGGAGACGGGGAGAGGCCCTGGCGTTCAGAGGCGCGCGGCACCAGGTGGAAGCGCGGGGGGGGCCCATACGATGTCAGGGACACCCAGGGGGGGGGGGGCGTTGTTCCCCGTCTTCCACATCTGCGTGCTGCTTCCGTGTTGGAATCCGCTGTCTCTTCGTTTGGGGATTCTCGCTCGCGCCGTCTTCGGTCTGGATCCGTATTGTACTGTCGGTGTGTGTTCTGGCTTCGGCTGCCGTAGTTTTCCGTTTCGGTTCGCCGAAAAACGCAGAGTTGAAATCTGAAAAAAGCGCCGCGCCCTCAGCATGTGGAACATCAACGAAGGGCAGGAGGTGCCCGTCTTGGCGATCTCGCTGAGGCCCAAGAGAACCACAACTCGAGGGCTGGCCAGAGGAGCAATAGTGGAAGAGGAGAACAGTGGACTGCAAAGCGCGCGCGGCGCTGCGTCGCATGACCGCACTCTCCCGCAGAGGCTTACAAGCAATGCACGCGCAGTAAGACAAAACGAAGACGGACGAAGAGGGCGAATGGAAGAGTAGGAGAAGTGGGACTGGAGGAGGGAGGGGGGGATAGTAGAATAGGAGGAGGATGAGGCCACGAGGAACATGAAAAAGCGGAGAAGCCAAATAAAGTCCTCCAAAAAAGGCCAGCCTGTTGAAACTCTTACGCACTTTTGGCTGCTGCGACGGCGGCTCCAAGGTCCCCAGCCTATGGGTTCGCCCGTCTCGTTTCATTGTGGTTTGAATATGGATTGATCACAGGTTGGCAATAGGCTGACCTAGAACATATGGAATTGCCCAGTGGTTGCTTGCCTATGTGACTGCGTGTTTCAATGCACACGTGATTGTTTGAACGCCAAAGTGCTTTACGTACTTCCTGTCTCCGCGCATGCCTGCCTAACGCATGACACCGAAATCGAAAAGTCCCCGGATCAAACTTGGCACCATGGTTGCTCTGCATCTACTGGTCGACAGCCGCTGGATTACAGAGCAATGGGGGTGCTCTTGAGAAGTACACTTGATAATATTCGACTGCAGTTTCTGGCTCTGGCATAGACATACACCTCCAAACTACGGCACGGACGGACGGTGAAAAAAGAAAACGTGTTCGTCGCGGGGTGCAGGAAACATCGGGAAATCGCTGTGTACAATTTTGCCAAATATCTCCTCACCCAGCGAAGACGTGGGGCAACATGGCAACGCATTACCACAGGAGCGAAAAAAATACGCAATGAATCCATGAGCCGACCAAGAAAACCTGCAAAGCTCACAGCATCTCGACCAACGCAAGACTTTCCCACAACATGAACAGCAAACGCTGGATCGGCTCATGTCATGCACAGCGAAGGTGTTGCTCCGTGTTCCCTCCCTGAGGGCGGTCAGACCGTAGGCAACAATAGGTCCCCCATCAGGCCCCGAGGATCCTCTTCCAGCTGGCAGTCCACTCGTGGCATAGACTCCATTACGGCTGTGGACGCCTCGCTCCGATGAAGCATCGACAGCTTGTTCCACAAGAGGCGTGCGTTGTGCGAGCTTGCCAGCGCCTCGGGGAGCGAGGGGTGCTGCATGTCACGTTGCTCGGGTAAGGCGCGTCAAACTTGTGTGATGTGTTTGCGAACCTCCTTGTTAATCCAACTGGCCCGTTGGGTTTAGGTGTCTCAGGGAGCAGAAAATAAATTATTCCCCTTTGAGGGGGCGTCCCCCCCCGTTCTGGATCCGGACGGGAGGGGCAACGAGCGGTCAGATGGTCCGCGTTGGCACAAGATTGCTCCAAGGGGGCGTCGAATAGCCTAAGGTGGCGTCCACGATGGCTCAGCATAGCCCGAGATGGCTCAAGAATACCTCCGACATGCCTCCAAGAGACCACCCCAAGACAGCTCCAAGTGGACACGGAGCGCCCCAAGGAGACTCCCAAGAGGCCCTATGAGGCATCAGGAGGCCCAAATATCACCCAAGAGAGCCCGAAGAGAAGCCGATAACAGGCCCGAAGCGGTTCCAAGAGCGCCCCAAGAGCTCCACAAGAAAGCCCCAAGAGGCTATAGCTCGGGCTTCCGAAGAGCGATGCTAATCGGCGCCGCCGCACCCCTTTTTTGCTAGATGGCACCGGAGATCCGAGATGGCCCCAAGACGGCCCGAGAGACTTCCAAAAGAGCTCCCAGCGAACTCCAAGGTGGCTGCAATAGGCCTCGAAGAGGCTCTACGACGTCTCGAAGTTCACTGTTGCCAGCCTCTGCATGTTGGAGGCTAGGGGGTGAGATCGCAGTGGAACGGAGAGCCCCCCACTGGGAAATCGGTCTCGGTTTCGAGTACGTGTCGTGCGTGCGGGCGAGGCGAAGCTGCGCGGGCGCGCGAGAGAAATGACCCCGCCGTCGCTAGGGCGATTCGGATTGAAGTGGGCCGCCCCGGCGCCAACAGTGGGCGCGCGGTGGCCTGGGGTGTACCGCCGTTGTAACCTGTGGTGTCCCATTGGTCCTGTTCATGTTCCGTCGGTGTTCCGTCGGCGGTGGGCGGGCGGTGGCTGGGGGTGTCCCGCCTTGGTATCGATACCGAAGTCGACAGTGAGACTGGTAAAGAGATCGCTAGAATGGGACGGACAGTGAGATCAAAAGTGAGATCGAAATTGAGGTTGGTTGTGACATTGTATGTGAGGTCAATAATGATATCGATAGTGAGATCGATAGTGAGATCGACTGTGAAATATATAGCGAGATCGAAAGCGAGATATATATATATATATAGTGAGATCTTCAGTGAAATCGATTGTGAAATCGATATGTAGATGGATCGAGAGTAATCGATCCTGTGAGGTCGATAGTGGGATCGAGCGAGTGAGATCGAAAGCGGGGATGATGGTGACAGTACATCGCAGCGCAACATCGTCATCACACCTCGTCGCTCATTCGAGGGCGCGTCATCAGCATCGTCATCATCACACCCGTTGCATTTGGCAGAAGTTGGGTATTTCAAAGGCTCCCATGAGGCAATAAGAAGCCCCGCAGAGGCCCCCGAGAGGCCATCTGACCCCCCCGAGGGCCCCAAGGAAGCTCCAAGAGGCCCCAAAGTGGCCCAAAAGAGGTCTCCTCCTCCTCCGCTTCCTCCTCATCCGGCTCCTCCTCTTGATGTTATGACTAGTAACACTAGCACCCGCAGTATTAGCAATACTACTATTATGAGTAGTGGTACTATCATCCGTATTGTTACTAGTACGACTGGCATTGGTAACACCAGTAGTAGTATGAGCATTCGTAACAGTATAACTATCATGGGTTTTACTATTGTTAAAACCAGTATTGCTAGTAATGCTAATATTGATGATACGAGGGAATAGTAATATTAGTACTGATGATGTGAATCAGATCATTATTACTACCCGTCGTATTAGCATTGTGAATATCCCTTTCTGAATATGGATAGTATTATTGCTAACACGTCGGTTTTCTATTACTAGTAGTATTAGCACTGTTGATATTGATACTGCGCTTATTTAGGTTCCTAGTATTATCAATCATCGTATAACCAATATCGGTGTTAATGTCACTACTGTTCTTCATCAGTATCCTCCTCCTCCTCATCATGTTCTTGCTCATTCTCATCCTCCTCCTCCTCAATATCCTGCCTTCTCCTCAGCATCGTCATCCTCATCTGAACTCCTCTCTCAAAGCTTCCACTCAGGATTTACACAACGGCCAGAACACATAGTTCAATAGTTGGGTCACAAACGTTTGGCCATACAGGCGCTCCCAAAAGGCGGGGACCGACAATGGTTCGCAGCAGACATTTCTGGATCAGGTTCCACATCATACTGGACACGTCTGCTGAGCTCTCGAGGCCCGATCCGGCACACCGAAAAGAGAGTCACACCCAGACCTTTCGAGAGTGGTCCAGAGAATGTATGTAGAGGCGTCTGAGGACCACGGACTCTCTGGACACACCGTCGCGAGGCTCGCCACCTGAAAGTGGACGAGGAAGTGCGCCGCCGTGGGGCCCGCGACCTTTGCTGGCCGCGTCTCTCTCAAGTGGCATCGCCTCCGCGCCTCTTCCAAGTCATCCCCCTCTTCCATTGTCCGCTCTTCTGAGACTGTTCCCTTGGCGCCTACCTCGAGGCCCTTCCCCCTTATAACGACCTGGACAGTCTGCAAACCAGCACACTGAAAGAACGGAGCCATACCAAAGCATGGCAAATTCAGCAGATGTACAGGCTCAACGACGGGAGCAAGCGACGAGAACAAGGACACCGTGAACATTGCATGCTGATGAATTCGATGGACGAGGCAGGTCTCCAAAATAGAAGTCAGCATGTCCCCCACCTTTCCTGCACAGTGTGGGCGTGCCACAATGCCACATGGTAACTGATAGGGCATGTGAAAATCTTCGAAGGCACCCCATCCTCGACGTGCTTCTCGAAAATGAACCGCCCCCTACTAAGGCTCTCTGAACGGCCAAGCGCCTCCCTGGGAATCTCCAAAACTAACTCTGGAAAACTTCCGAGACGGCCCAGAAAAGCCACCTACAAATCTCGTCATACGTACAAAAAAAAACGACGTAGCGCAGCATGGACCCGGCCCCCGCCCTCCAAAGCTGAAGCAGGCGGATCGAACTGCGCGGGGGCGCTCAGCCAAAAGCCCGGCGGACCCGTCAACTTTGGAAGGACGCGCAACAAAGAATGCCGAATACGCCTCTCAACTTTGAATACGCCCCTGGAAGCGTCATGACAATTGCGACGAGACTTTACAGCATCTACTCCTGAAACTAACCCTTCTGCGAGCGTGGACTCGAAGCTAGCTCGCCCGCGCGCCTTCCGTGGAGTGTGGACAAGAAGCCGCCGATGATTCCCACGCGCTACTTCATCGCACCACATGCGCCTGGTTCTTGCTGTCTTGCAGATTTCATCAGAATAGCAAAAGCACCGGAGCATCTGGGGCAATCAAAAATCAGATGGGGCCGCATGGCGCGGGCTCATCTTGCGCCGCCAGCAAGAGAACGGGTGCTTCTGGAATTGTTCAAAAACTGACGCCTTGGCGCTGTCGGCTGGTTCTTCCGGTCTTCCAAAAAGAGCACAAGCGCGAGGCGCGAGGCGAAGTACAAGAAGACGATCCAAGAGGCCCCCAAGATCGCCCCAAGGCAGCCCAAGAGACCCCCAAGAGGAGCCAAGACGATCCAAGAGGGCCCCAATATACCCCTGGAGCCCCCCAAGACGACCCCGAGAAGCCCCCAAGATGGCCTCAAGAGGGTGAACCCGCACGGACCCTTCTAGTCCTCCACCCCAAGATGACCCCAAGAGCCCCCAAGATGCCCCCGAGGCACCCCCAAGGGGCCCCCAGAGGCCCCCAAAAGGTCCCCAAGAGGCCCCCCAGAGGACCCCGAGAGGCCCCCAAGAGGCCCCAAAGGCCTTCAAAAAGCCTCAAGAACCAAGAGGCCCCAAGAGGCGCTCACTCGCGTGCTGCCAGGCCAGAGGTGCACGGCCTGACTTGGTATTGCTCGGAAACGAAAGCGATGAACGAAGAACCTTCCACCCGTCGCCGTCACCAGTCGTCGGTCGTCGGCCGTCGGCACCCGTTCGCCGTCCGTCGTCGTTGTCGTCGTCGTCGTCGTCGTCGTCGTCGTCGTCGTCGTCGTCGTCGTCGTCGTCGTCGTCGTCGTCGTCGTCGTCGTCGTCGTCGTCGTCGTCGTCGTCGTCGTCGTCGTCATTAACTCCTTAGTCGGTCGACGTCGTAATTACCTCGCTCGTCGACCGTGGGTCGTCCGATGTCGTCGTCATCGTCCATTTCAACAACACTAGCACTGGCCAGAGGCCACTGTAATTAATACAAGATCCGCGCGCAAGGGCCGGGTCTTTGCTTCGGCGCAACCCACACGCGCAGCCGCTGGAATACCTACACGGCGCAAACCCCGCGCACTTGCTGTAGGAAGCCCCATCAGGAATCCCTTCGCGAGACATGGCCCACGGCGAGAGCGGCGGCGGGGAGCACCGAAAGTTGCCGAAGCCGGGCATCGACGCTGGACGACCCAGTGGGCGGCACAGCTGAGCGCAGCAGAGAAGCGCCGAAATGGCGCGGGGGACAGGGAGCGAGCGACGCAGCGACGCGCGCCCCGCACGGGAGGCACGTCGCGAGGGGGCGGCGGCGGGGAGCACCGAAAGGCGCAGAAGCCGGGCAACGACGCTGGGCGGCCCAATGGGCGGTCCAGCGCGCGCAGCAGGGAAGAACCGAAGTGGCGCAAGGGGCATCGCCCACGCGACGCGCGCCCCACACGGGAGGCACGTCGCAAGGAGGAGAGGAGAGGAGGGCCACGCGCGGAATGGCGCGGCGCTCGCGGGCACGCCCCGTAGCGGCGCCAAGCGCAGCCGGGCGGCGGCGGCTGCGGCACGCGTTCAGCGCCGAGGGCGGGCGCCAGGGGCGTCGCCCCAGGCCGTGTCAAAGCGGCGCTTGCCAGGCCTGCCGCCCTCATCGCGCCCTTTGCCTGGCTCGGCGGCCTCGCACCCCCGCGCCTCTTGCCCGCGCGCATTCTTGGCACGCTGGTGGCCCGAGACCTGGCCCCAGTCCGCGCGGGCAACTTCCCACCGGCAGTATTCCTTAATGTCGAAGTTCCAATGCCACAGATCAGCCATGAACTCACGGCAAAAGTGATTGTCGCGCGCGATTCCAACCTTCGCCGAAGTAAGAGCCAGCCTCGATCCGGCGACGCCTGACGACAGCGACCCAGCTCTCTAGGTCGCCTCGGGCGCGCGTGCGCCCAAACACAAGGCAAAGCCGCGGCAAGCGGTGCAACCTGTCATCTGGGTCAAGCCAGGCTCGGTCAGCATGGTCGCCGGGCCAGGCCGGGCCCCGCACGCTGTCCATGCGCCTGTCGATTTCGCGCCTGGCGCTGGCTGCGGCCTGCCTTGCCTCTCCCATCCAGTCGGGGTCGCTGCCGCGGCCACGCGCGGAGGCGCCGGCTGTCGGACCGCGGGGCCCCGCGCTCGGCCCGGGCAGCCTGGCGGCGCGCGGCTGGGCCGGAGCGCGGTCGTCCTGGAGCAGGCCAAGAGCACGGCCAGTCTCGGTCTCAATGAGCGCTCCCAGCCCGATGACTCAAGCGGCGCGCTGCGTCGGCCGCGCCCAGGACGACCTCACTCTCGCGCCGAGGAGGCTAGACCCCCCGGGCAGGGGTCAGGAGCATATCCTGGATCGCGTTGGCGCCGGTGGGCTTGCTGACAGCGAGGTGGGCTGGGAGCGGCCTCTTAACCGGTCGCGTTCGACGGGCCGGCGGCTTCGCCTAGCGCGCGAAGGAAACGGCCGATCGGAACCGCGTCGTGGGGACGGCGAAACCTCGCCCGGCCAGGTCTCCCCTGAAGCACACGGCGCAGTGCTAGCGGCAGCCCCTGCCGACCCGATACGCGGCCAGTCTGCCGCTGGCCCGCTGCATCTCCGCCCAGGTAGCCACACGCCCCACGCCCTTCACGTCAGGGTGGCGGTGCGCGACCGCAGTGAACCTGGACACATGCTTGATCAGCGCTTCCAGCCGTGCGTGAAGCCCGGAAGTCCTCGTCGGCGACGCCGCGCGCCGCTCCGAAGCAGTCCCGCACCCGCAGCCGGGCAGGGTCGCACGGGATCATATGGGGCCACGAAGGGCCTCGGCTCGCGGACCATGAGGAGCACCATGGCCAGGGGGCTCATCGCCCAGGCGCTGGGCAGCGATGGTCCGTCGAGACCTTGGAAGGACTGCCTGGGCGGTCCGGGCTGCTGGCGGCCGCGGGCCTGCAGCAGGGCGGCGAGGTGGCCGGCGTCGGGCGGGGCGCCGCGCCGGGGGCAGGAGCACGCGGCGCCACTCCTGGCGGCCAGCGGCCTGCGGGGCGCGTTGGCGGGGATCGTGCTCTCCTGCCGCGATTGCCACTTGTTCCGGTGCGTAGCTCGCGGCTCTCCGGTGAGCAAGTGCTCGGGAACGAAGTGAGCGTCCTGGCATGCGGGTTGTGAAAGCCAGCAATATAAGCGAGGCGCGCCCGGATTGCCGCGTAGACGTACTTGGCGGGGTCGACCCCCAGCTCAAAATCGAAAAGGTCACCGTCGCAGCTGACCAGCTTGCGGCAGCGCTCGTGGAGGTTGGCCGGGGCGCCCCCCGGACCGCACAGGTGAGGGCGCAGGCCAAGGACGTAATAGAGGACTGGGAAGAAGGCCGGGTCTGCCAGCAGGGCGGCACTGGCGGCGGTCAGGTCGTCACCCAGCCCGCCCCAATCGAATTTGTCCAGGAGCGGGGTGTCGCAGACGGTGGCAAAACCCAGGGCATGCTGCTCCTGTGCCTTTTGCATCTGCCTGAACAAGGCCTTGAGCTGGCCTGCGGCGAATATCGCCTTCGTCTCCTCGGGGCTGGCTGCACTGTCTGCCCGTCCGTTCTGGAGCTGCCGGGGGTCGAAGACTGCAGCTTCGTCGAGCCTGAGCCGGGTGCATGCGGCCTCTTCGTGTTGCATGAAATCCAAGCGCCTGCGCCCAGGGCCCAGTCGGCAAGCGTGTTGAACTGGGCCTCGCTGGCTGCCTTGCACATCTTGCCGTTCATGGCGACGATGAGGCCTTCCTGGGCTCTTGTCATGGCAACGTTGATGCGTCGGGCGTCGTCCACGAGCCCCCACTCGTTGGCCGGGCTCGCACGGGTGATGCAGAAGATGACCAGCGCTGCCTCGCCACCCCGACACCCGTCGACGGTGCTGACGGTGATGAGGTTCTTGGCGATGAGGTCTGGGCACCGCGCTTCGAGCCCAGGGAAGGCGAGCAGGAGTCCGTTCTGCCGAGTCGGTCGCTGGCGGCAGGTGGACTCGCCAGGGGCCGCGGAGCCGCCTTTGCCTCCGCGAGGTGTGCTGCGGGGTGTTGACCCTTTACCCGTGGATTTGCCGTTGCGCCGGCCATGATATGCCTCGAGGAAGGCGCCCGGACGGAGCGGGTGGCCGTGGCGTAGCGCCACCATGCTGGCACGGTATCCCGTGATGACGAGGACCTTCTTGTCGCGAGCGATGAGGTCGGGAGCAGCTGCGGCAACCAGGTCGCACACCACTGCGGCCTCCATGATGTTCGCCGTGCCTTCCACGTGGTTGCAGGAGACTTCGGCGGAGTCAGAATGGACGAGCAATACGCGCAGGTGGTCGCCACGCTGCGAGCCGTGGACGGGATTGCGCCACTTGCCACCGCCGATGGCCAGGTTGTCCGTTGGGTTTCCGCTGGCGGCGCAGGCCTGCTCAAATTCCTCGGGAGAGAGCCGGGCGGCTGAGTGCCAATTGAGGCCTGTGCTGTGAGTCTGGGGTCTTTGCCTGGCCGGGTCTGTCAGCCCTCCCAGGAGCAGCCCGGCGTAGAAGCGGTCCGAGGCCCACTGCAGAGTAGATGGGTGCATCCGGTAGCACCTGTCC